GAGTAAGGAAGTAGTGACGATCTTTGACGATACTGCAGAAAGTCGTAAACTGGAAACTGAAAAACCAGATGGAAAACCCTGATACAAAAAGGGTTTACCAATCTGGCTGCCAGAGTTGCACCAGAGGAAAAGGTCTTATGTTACAGAATTAAGAACCAAGGGAAGTAAAACTAGAAGGTACTTAAAGCCTAGGTATAATGACCCATCCAGGCTAACTGGTTTGGTAGTTGGGGAGGGATTGGTATAAGGACTGGCTTGATGTGGGTATCAGGATCGGAACGAACCTTGCAAGAGCTAGGAGATTTGGCAGTATGGTCTGCTTATAAAGGTTTAGAACCTATCTGGCAAACTTATCTACAGAAAGAATTGGTGGTGTGGTCTGCTCGTAAAGATATAAAACCTATCTGGCAAGACTTATTCGAAAAAGACTAGGTAATACAATAATAAGAGGATACCGGACTGCTCTAGCAGGTAATGCACTTGAGGATGAATCGGTTAATCATACCAGTAGTCCTATAAGTAACTCACAATGATCTTAGAACTTGAACTGACTTATATATCTCATGTTCCAGATGAGGTTAGACGGATTGGCATAGGAAACTCAGATCAGAGGGTTTAATTGTGTAATCTAAATAATAGTAGATTACAGGTATGACATCTAGTGTAGAACCTAGTAATAGGCAAACTACTTAAATTAGGTACTCAAAAGGCACAGGTATAGCTAGAATGTATCCTCGTCAGAATGTACTTGTCTGAGACCCCTTGATAAAAGCACCACATGATTCTACAAATCTAATAAAAGCGAAAAGCCAAAGAGGCTAACCTTGATTATAAAAAAAAAAAAAAAAAACACTAATGATTAACAAAAACAATATTTAATGCTTGCTCCAATATAAAACTGATCTTTAATTTTGTTTAATAATTGTAATACAGTTACAGTACCACTAAATACTTTACTCATGAAATCTATAAACCTTATAACTCACAACTTCATATTCTTAGCTTATATTATAATCAGGTTTCTATATTAGTTGAGATTATAAAGAATAAATTTTCACAAAATAAGTAAAAAACAGCTTAAATTGTTGAGTTTACTGTACCTATAAGTTAAACGTTCAAACATATCTAACTTCCGAATTACTTTGACAGTTTATAAAACAAGGTATATACTTTTAAGATTTTTTGGTATCAAGTTTGGCCAGCGTCAATATGTAAAACATATTGTGTAACATTTCGTGTCGATCATCCAATCAAATTAAAGCCGCTATGTTAGTCAAATCCGCCCATATCGATATGATAAAAATGCTTTTTTTTGTTAAATAGAAATCGGTTTTAGAATAACCTTTTAATATATTACAGTATTACAGATTAATTCTATATCGGGTAAAATTTCATTTTAACGACAATTTTTGTCGTCATGGCTAGTGTACGTAATAAATTGTCGTTACTGATCGAGCACCGCACTCTAGACCATCTTTACTCAAAAACATTAACGCAACGTTTAACCGCTTATTTGCTTTATATTTAGAAAACATTATATGACTAGATTTTATTTATTTTTTTTATTTATGTAAAATAAAACTAAAATAAAATACGAACTTGTTTAGTGGAAGTTCTGGATTATAGTTTATAGTTCAAAATTTGATTATTGGCAGATTTAGTTTGTTTTGAGAAAATAGCCTCAGCCGTATCAAAATTATCGACTCGATAAGCTTATAAATTTTAGTCACTATTCACGTTCTTTGTCCTTTCTGTTATCTCGATCCCTATCTCGATCCTTGCGGTCAGAAGAACGATATGGTGAGCGTGAACGAGAACGGCGGGGAGAACGAGAACGGCGGGGAGAACGGGAACGGCGGGGAGAACGGGAACGGCGGGGAGAACGGGAACGACGGGGAGAACGGGAACGGCGGGAAGAACGGGAACGAGAACGACGATATGGAGAGTAGGATCTTCCACGGTAGCCACTAGACCCGTATCTTTCATAAAAAGTACAGCATTTGACGTTAATAATAAATCAAATTCAATTTTGAGCTAAGAAATATAACCGCACCTAGTACAATTTCTGGCACGATGTCCCGGTTGTCCGCAGGTACTAGTTAATTATATGTTCAAATCAGTGCTGAGGGCGTTGGTAATTGTAACATATAACACTAACGATATACAACTCACAAACATCGATTTTCTTCATATCTAACGAGAAATGCATATTTCAAAGCAATTAATCAATGATTTATGAACAAATTAAGAAATTCATTTCTTATGAGCAATACCTGCGGGAGCGTTCACCACTTTGTTTAAAAGCCAGACCATGAATGAAATACGTAAGTAAAATAGAACAATTATTAGCGTTCGGTACATTTGTTCTTACCTTCCCGGCGGTTCTGGACTAATATCAGATTTTGAAAAATTAAATAAAATTCAGAATTCATAAAAATAACAATGCATCGCTTACGTACCAATCTCTGGCCCTATAACAAAAGGCAAATAAATAGATACCGAAATAACAAATTGATACAATTATCAAAGCCTGGAATATTTATCTCACCAATGACCTTTAAATGCAAAAAATAATTTAAAATTGGGTAAAAACAAAAAAGTATAGTTCCAAACCATACACGTAAGAAAATTAATAGCCAATACGCACCAATTTGCCCACAATTAAAACATCTTTCTGGTGGTCGTCCATCATAACTACGACCACTTCCATGACGACTTTCACGAGCTCCACGCCAAGTACTACCTATTTTAAAAAAATAAAAGTATTTAACCATAATATTAAATAAAATAAAGTTTATTAATTAAATCATCTCACCTCTTGCAAATTCCACTAATATTCTATCATCATTTCCTTGAATGCGACCACCGTCCAACGCCCTGAATTGATACTGTGTTAAAACTTGAGTCTGCTGCGTCGGCGATACACCGTTGACACCATCGACTCCTCTTGCCTCGCACCATACAGACAGATATATATATATATATACATGTTTTTTTTTTTTTTTTTTTTGCTTTTATTATTATTATATTATTATATTATATTATTTTTTCCTGCGATACCGTCTTTTTTTCGCGAAATGCACCAAAACAGAAAACAACATGTCGCAGCCCCGTGTTACGCCTCTCTCTGCCGACTGCTGCATCATCGTTCTCCTTTTAGAGCTCCTCACCTCATCGCATCATCTGCGTCTCTCGGATCGTCGAACTGTACAAAGCAAAAGCCAATCTGAAAAGTTTTTTCTATTGTTAAAAATAATATTGAAAACAGATATAACATAAATATTTTTTATCGAATATAAATTCACCTTCATCTGAAAGTAAGAGAAAATTAATAAAAAAATGAATGGTATATCAATTAACATAATCATATAATCTGAACAAGGGTTGTAATAAGTAATGCAAAATTGAATAGGCTTACATCAACTTCGCGAATTCTTCCATACTTTCCAAAAGCCTCGTCGATGTCACGTTCCGTAACGGATCTAGAAAGACGTCCTACAAATATTTATTTTGAGACGTTATAAAATACTTGGGCCTAACCTCTACATATGCCTTATGATTTAGAGATACATATAAAACCTCAATTTTTTATACTTCAGTTCAACTGACCTACATAAAGTCTTGCGGAAAATTTATCAGCACTACTACCACTACTACCATTGCCGCTCCATCTTTTACTATCTTCTTTACGATCGTCCGAATAAGACATTTTTGGCCTGTTTTGAGAAAAATAGTTATTGGTGGAAATTACCAATGCAATATTTATATGCTATGTTGTACAACAATAGATTATGTAAGCTCATTTTTCATTGAATAAACGAAACAAACGACAATATTTATTTAATATCAGTCATTATTATGTCTCTTGTTGCTGATTACAGCTCGGACGTTTCGAGTAGCGACGAAGAAATCACATCAACTGAAATAAAGACAGAAACTCCAAAAAAAACTTCAATATCTTCCTTACTCCCACCACCAAAAGCCCTATCTAAAAGCAAGAAGGACGGTGCATTAAAAACAACAAATTTTATGCCCCATGCGATCACAAGAAAGAAACCCGTCATGCAAGCAAAATCTGATACAAAAAATGAGGATGATACTGAAGATGTAAACACAATTACAGAAGCATTTTTTCCGTTAGGTAAATAGTAAATACTTTTTTCTATTACTTGTCGATTATTCATGCTGCTAATTTGATCACATACATCCTTTCAGGGCCTGAAATAACGAATATAAAATCAATTAATGAGACCAAGGATGCATCAGCAGCTTCTGTTGCCACTAGAGACAATATTGAACCCTATGCGATTGCAGGTGCAACTGACATTTCTTTTCCCACAGATGGATATACATATAACGAATATTATAATG